TATACGCATGCATTAATGGGGAATTGAGTGAATGAATACAAAACTGTCATTCAACAACAATCTCAACCAACAATCTCAACTAATAATCTCAACTATAAATTTCAATCTCAGCTATTAATTTCAATTATTAGTCTCGACTATCTATCTCATCAATCTCAGCTATCAATTTCAACAGTCATTTGCTAAATAATTTTTGATAACGAATTTCTAATACAAAAACGCGTAGCAATATATACGTAAGTGACGTGTACGCATTTAAAGTTTGCATGAACTTATATTAAATGATTATATAACTATAAAAATTATATGATCATATTCGGAACTCAGAGTCTTTAACTCGATTGTCGGAGTAACATAACATGAACACGTGCGCATGATATGGTTGATATTCTTTCCGTTGATTCTTGATAGGGTGGTCGCATTTATCATTAAGTTTGTGTGATGCGTTCTTTTTTTGATAACAGGTGAAAAAATAGGCAAACTTTGTTCATGCATATTAAGACCGAAGGTGTTAAAATATAAATTAAAAAACAAAACTTGACAAACTCATGATTTAATCACATGCATATATTTATATGAAATGTAAAGCTGTGTTACGGAACAGTTGGATATCACAATGCATGTTCAGCCAAACATTTATGATAGGTATGTATTCATTGGGAGCAAATTAATGTATCACTTTAAGACACGTTCGACAAGATTAGTGGTAAAACGTGAATAGGAGTACGTACAGGTAGATAACAGACTAGGAGAATGCAAAAGATAATTGCAGACAATTGTTTTATTGCATATCCTAATAAATGGCCTAACAAGTGACCTAACAAATTGCTTAACAATTAACAAATTGTCAAGTTGCTTAATAATTAACAAATTGTCAAGTTGCTTAATAATTAACAAGTTGCTTAACAAGTTGCCTAACTAGTGGCCTAACAAGTGGTAATACGTAGTGATATATCCTAATAAATGAATAAAAATGATCAATGAATGATCTTGATGTTACCGAAGAAGTGATTGTAGCACCTAAATTCTATAATATTTGAGGATATTTATTTGTATATATTTTGTTTTTTCATCTCATCATAATATTATATGCATCTATAATATTATATGCATCCTTATTTATTCATTAATTATTTAATTATCGTTATCATTATCATTATTTATTATTTTGGTGACAGATAGCGAACAATGAGAGAATATGAACAGGGGATTCGTACAATAATAAAAACTTACATTATCACGTCCAGTGATGTATTAGGAGGTTCACGTTTATCGTTATAAACAAATAGATAGATAAGGATGCTGATCTATTTAAAATTGGTATTTTGTACCTCTTACCTAACCACTATATTATAATGATTAAGGAAAAGTGCGAAAGAACCTCATTAAAGTATTATGTACAACCTACTATTGAGTAAAAGAAATACTTTTGGAAATTACACTTGAAACGTAATATTCTAAAATCGCACTAGATCGATAACTTTTTACGCACGATCGCACGAACCTCTAAAATCCAAATCGACGACTAGTTGATCACATAATTAATATGGTAAGATGGATATCAAAAACGGTGTTTTAGGAATATATAGTGGGAAAAATTATAAGTAAGAAACGCCAAAGAGCAACAATGCATTACCGTTATATGTTTCATCCATTGTATTACGTCAGCTTTAATCATCATCTGTTCGTTAAAGTTCTAGCTAAATTTCTAGAATTTTTATTAAATATAGAGAAGATTTTTTTGACGTGTTTTTTTTCGACCGAGTTTGTTGTTATTTAAACGAACGCGCCTTTTCTTTTATTCGGTTCTCCAGATAATCTCATCAAACAGCTAATAATCACAAATCACAATGCCTACCTATTGCTTGCGTAAACGTAAAAAGAGATGCATTATATGCATCACGCGATCTTTAGCGTCATTACTATTTTGAGCTTAGTTTGAATTTTTCTTCTCCGCTTAGCGTCACGAGTCATGACCGCTTATCAGCTCGGACAGTGCCGTATCAACTTGTATGCATGCATGCACGCATGATACACCCTTTTTTTAGTTTGCATAAGATTTTTAGCTTATGCAGTGACTTGCACTTGCTTGCATCTTTTTTTTTTTTTGTTCGCGGCAAAGTTAAGTTTCTTAAAGAGGAATACAAGTTTTAAAGATTTTTTTTTTTTTAGCGTTAGATCCTTGGTTTGTATTCCGTTCCGAACACCTTTATTATCCAGTAACATGCGACTCACAAGATTTGATTACGTACATACTATGATTATGTACTTTGTCTACGGATGCAAATGCAATAAGTCCAAATGATAGATAAAAAATTTTTTTTTTCTTCAAGGAATTAGATATACATACATATATATTATACAAAACTGATTCTTTCCTTATTCAAAAGTTCTCGCCGGTTTATCATCTAATTGATCAACCTTACAGCGCAGTGGAGGGAACGACGCCTGAAATGATAAATTTTGAAAATCCTGACTAAAATTCATGTTTTACAAAGCTATTACATACATCGTTACAATTACATACATCGTTACAATTACATACAGCATTACAATTACTTATAATAATAATTTAATAATAATAATAATAATAATTATATATATATATATATATATATAATTCATCACACTTATCGTTATACGTATCTTAATGCTAAATAATAATGATAGTTGTTGAAAAATAATCACGTTCCAGTAAACAATGAAATATAATTGTTATATTGTTACCATCAACATCATCAAAATTATTAAATAGATTCGATTTTTAACGTTAAGGAATATTTCAAATTTCCGGCAATCTTTTTCCGCGTGATTTCTCATTTCAGGATTGTTTAACCGTAGATTATCTTTATTGAAAACAAAACCTTAATAAACATAAACCAGAAAATAATTTACTCGGATTGATTGGCGTATAGTTGAGATAATTAAAAAGAAAAAAAAATAAAATAAATTTTTTTTTATTGTTTGTTAATTTTAGGCTATGAGTTTATCAAATTAATAGACTATCAAATTTGAAATATCATTCATTAGAAATATTGATTACAGTATACTTCAAAGTATTGAGATGTTGTGTTCCGTTTCAAGATAATTATGTCCTTTTTATTTTTTTTCAAATTGCATATTTCTTTACATAGGCTGATTTGATGATTTGATACAAATACAAAACATTACAAATATTTGATATAAAAATGTTAATTTAAGAATGTTTTTAATATAAATGTTAATATATAAAAACGTTGATATAAAATGTTTGATACAAATATATAATTTATAAAGACTTTGCAGTATTTGTTTATTTATTTTTGTATTTATTTTTTTTTGGCATTCCATTGTTTCCTCGGAAGGGCGTTTCTTTGGGGATGAACGAGAGACTTTCTCATTTTGTTCTTGATTAATGGCTGCGGGTTGTATATATATGTTGTGTCATTATCTTTGGTCGTGCCAAACAATTAATATTTTATTACGGTAATCTTTATAGTAAATATATAGTAAATATATAGTAAATATTATAGTAAATATTATAGTAAATATTATAGTAAATATATAGTAAATCTATAGTAAATTGCTGTAAATTCGGTTTAAATAATATGAATACGTAGTAACCAATTTAGTGTACCATGATTATGGTATAAGTTCTATAAGGAGAAATCATTGAATGCAACTTGACGTATTACTGATTATTTGATGATAAATGCTATTTTTTCAACGAATCATGTTTCTTTTCTTGAAGTGAATTTTAAACTGACTTGTTTATAATCTTGTTTTAAAATTTTTTAGTATATATTGTTAAATATTATTAATAGTATTATTAATGGTTTGGCATCATTTAAAAACAGTCCTGTTTTTGTTTTGTTTAAAAAATCAATCTTGACACAATGTCATGTCACAGAAATATAGATTTTTTACCCACTTGGAATTTTATATACATAGATATGTAATATACATAGATTTGTATACATAGTTATGTATACATAGATATGTAAATACGTAATTATATGTAATTAGCATTCACAATTATGGTAATTTGTACGTCACTTTATACTTTTTTTATTGCTATATGCTGCTATAGGCAATGCGAACTTCTCTTGTTCGCACAAGAAATTTCTTTTGTTTTACCGTGACATATACATCATGTCAATAAATCGACGTTTTGAGGTTAATGTGATTTAATGAGATTATCGAAATTAAATGACGAGAATTTTTTTTTTAAAAAAAAAAAAAAAGTACGTACAAATTAGTCCTTCACCTTTTTCATCTTTTTTCGACTGTTCTATTTCGAACCTTATTCCTAATATTGTATATATTTTTGAACATAATAATAGTACTAATATATCTATAATGTGATTTCTGCCAATCTAGAAAATCCATGGACTACGAATTCCATAAACGCACAGTAAATCACAATATACCCTTATACTATATCGGTCATTAGAAGTTACATTAACGTCATTACAAATAAAAGAAAATAAAAGAATCTTTTTTGTGCTCTTTATACTCTTTATACCATAAAAAAAATCAATACATATATTTTATTATTTTAAAAAAGGGTCCTCGTTTTTTTGTACTAGGCCTTTTGCATATTCTGCTGTGCGTATTTAAATAGTTGTAATAGTTCAATTTACGGTAGTAAATGAAACATCTGAAGCACCACTAAAACGCATTTATAGATTTATATAACACTAAGGCCCTACCTCTTTTTTTTTTATTTCACAAACCTTTTTATTTCATATCTTGACTTTGATAAAAACTCAAAAAAAAAACACTCGCGCTTTCCTCTCTTATTATAAAACTTCATATCTTTTTTTTCTTTTGGTTTCGTTTCTCAAGTTAATTAATTTTATTCTTTTCCCTTTCTCCGTTCCCTTCTTTGTTCCGGCATTTCTTTGTTATAAAAAGTTTCTCAAATCTATTTAAAAGTAATAAAAATAAAAATAAAAAAATAAATAAAAAAAATATATTATAAAGAAAAATAAAACTAGAAAAACTAGAATATACTAGCAATGGCAACCTCAGATCCCTCCTCTCTTGACTTCGTATGTTCCTTTATTGAACGATCAACTTTACGTATCTTTGTATTAAAGTTTAATGGTGATTCGTTTTAACCTTATATCTATTTCTTTATATCTATTTCTTGTTCTTTTTCATTAGGGTCTAGAAGGCTTTCAAAAACTTATTGAAGAATATAAAGTACGTTTGTTTCTTTTCGAATCTTGTTCCATTGGCTTTTTCTTATTTTCTAAATTTTGGTTTCTTCTTTTAAAAATAATATAGGCTAAAGAACTGCAAATTATGGAGCTAACCAAACAGTTAGAACAGCTCAAAAAAGAGAACACAAGATTACAATCACAAATCGTATGTTTTACTTGTTTCACTAAATTCTTGACTTTTATTTTTTGAGTTCTATAATTTTAATATATACGTGTTTTTGATTGTAAAAAGAAATCTTCACCTGACCAATTCATAAATACCCACCATTTTGATCAAAAAAAAGCTCATGAACTTAAAACTGCTTTAGGAAATGTAGTAGATGAGATTTTAACTAATAATAAGGAGGTTGGTACCCTTCATTATTTATCTGAATATTTACGAAATCAATGTATGACATCATTATTTCTATTTCTTCGTCTGTTAAATTTAGCATACAAACCGTCCAATGGTATTTGGTCAACAAAGACCGTCGTGGCCTTTGGGTTCAAACTCCAATGCTACCCACAATGAAGGTATATAATTATTTATTCCATTGATTTTATTTTATTTTATTTTATTTTATTTCTTCTCATGCTTCTTTCCCTTTCAATATTGCATAATACAATAGTAAATCAATTAATCGAATTGGAGGAAAATGGGTCAAAAAGTACTAATAATAACACAATCAATCATGTTCCAACTCATACGAACCATATTCCTACTAGTCATGAACCAATCATCGATTCTCATCCACAATTCAATGTACGTGCTTATGATTATATATGTGTTCTATTCTATTCCTTCAACAAACATTAACTTATTATTTTTAACTTCTTGATATTTCTTTAGCATGCCCAAGTGAGACCGTCAGATGACAATAAACTTATTGGTGAGGCGACTTTAAGTCATCAACATCAATTTCCTGTTATTCCTGATGGAAAAGTGGACCCCTACAATCCACATAATCCACGGCGTTTCGTCAGCAATAGTCATTTCAATAATCCTAGCAACCCTAACAGTATCAGCCTTAATAATAACCCCAACAAAAATAATAAAAAGGTATGCCATTTACTTTAGTCTTTACTTAACCTACAAAATTTTACCACGTGAATTTTTTTTCTCATTATGTATATATATATATTATTATTATTTTTTTTTGAATTTTATAGATTAAACCTGACAAACCCGTTTCCAATTTACCGAAATACACCGTGTTTATAGCATGGACTGGTTCAATGTCTGCGGAGGGTTTGAAGGCTTTATTTGAAAATGATGAGGTCCGTATCAACATGTATTTTTGGTTTACGAACCTTTGTTTATTTATTTATTAATTAATTATTAATTAATTAATTATTTATTTATTACCTCATGATTTATATTTTCAAATTTTATATATTTATATATATTAGGTCGAAGAGGTTCGATTCTTACCTAATAAACAATTCGCTCATGTGGATTTAAAGACTGAAGCCGCTAAGAATAAGGCTTTAAAACTTAACGGCGAGGTAGGCGATCTTTATTAATTGTTTTACATGTAATTTATTACTATTGGTTTATTAAATACATTTATTAAATACATTTATTAAATACATTTATTAAATATATTTATTAAATAGGTGAAGTCACAAGAACAAGGAAGATTACGAGTAGAAGAAGGAAAACCTCGTGGTAACAATTCCACAGGTACAAAATAGTTTCAATAGTTCATAAATTGTCTTGAATCAAATGTATTTATTCTAAATTTTTTCTTTATAAATTAGAAACTAACGGACTACGTTCCCAACAAAATAAAACTTATCAACGAACTAATAATAATAATAATCATAATAATAATAAACCAAATAATTACAATTCTCAACAAAAACACTCATCCAAATATTCTCCTAATGGGCATCATTCACTCATTAACGGTATAACTAGTGAAGACTATAAGGATGGTACCCACAAGTGGCAACAATTTAGAACCAGCTCTCCACAACGTACAATGTCGAATGTTTATCCGATGCCATCAGATAATAAAAGTAATTAAAGGAATCTGACTATCTTCAGGTCGAGGTGGTCGTTTAGGGATATTTCCCAATCCTTGCCTTTGAATTTTGGCAATTACTACATAGTTTGGGTTTTGGTTCTACTTCATTTGGGATAATATATCTCCATTCTCAGCCATTAGTGTAAAAAAAAAAAAAAAAAAAAAAAAAAAAAAATCAAATCAAATTTATTAAATCAATACTATAAATTATTAAAACTTTATTTTTATTTTCAACTTAAAAGAATTAAAGTGGGATTTAGTAACTAGGGTGGATCTATTGAATAAAGTGATATGTTATAGTAGGTTTGATGGTCATATTGAATTATGTGCACAAAATAAATTAAATAATTATAACTATGTTGGTTTTTTTTTTTTTTATCATACAGTATAAAATTCGAATCTTATATAATAAATCTTTCGAATAGAAGTATTCTAATGAATTTTTTTTTTTTTTTTTTAATAAAAAATTTTATTGTCCGAAGTGTAGCGGACATTCGTCCGATTGGCTGATGTAAATCAATTGCCTGGATAACTTATTTATACAGTTTTAAAATTACTCTTTAAAAACGTAACGTTTCACTAACAAAAAATCATTGTAAAGCTTCGAAAGAACGTCTATATTCATTATGCAAAAATAATCAAAAATAATCAGTAACCTCAAGAACTTCACTTAGAAGCGAATATTTTTACTATTTATTCTAGTACTAGTCATATTAACTATACGTAAGCTCTAAATTCTGGAAATGGTCAAAAAAAAAGAAGTTCAAGACGTTATGTGTTAAGAACTAAATCAATGAACTTTGTTTATACCGTTTAACATGCTATTATAACAACAAACTTATACTAATGTTCTTATTTTACGTATTCTGAATATTATAGAGCAGGTTAAATAGTAGAACGATAATATGTAAAGAGTATTAATAACGAAAATGATAATAAAATAAGATTTAATTTTTTCAATAAATAACTCTTTAATGGGTTCGGGTTTTTAATAATAAATATTACTTTTATCTCACTTTTGATTTATAAGCCTCGTTTATTTTTTAAAATGATAGACGTTTTAAAAAATTATGTAATTTGATTGGTTAATTATTACGGGCAATCACGGGTAGATCGCCAAAAATTAACCAATCATATGAATGTCTCGTTTTGAACACGAATGCCATTGGTTAATAAATTCAATTACAGTTTTTTTTTTATTTTATTATGATTAGTTTTTGTTTTTTTAAAAAGTACTTTAAATTGTATAAATAATATAAAATTAAATTGAATTTATTAGCCAATTAGACAATTAATTTTTTAAATATAACAAACCTCACCTTAACTCCAAAAAAAAAAAAAAAAAAAAAAAAAATTTTTTAAATCTAACTTATAGTGATTATTATCTAGAGGCTAAGTTGGCCAATAGATCAAAATGTGACTTATAATATGCCATTGGATTATGTCTATTGACCTAATAAACAATGTTCATTGGCATTTTTCTCAAAACTTATTATAGTTTATTGCCAATTCTGCTTAGAGGCTATATATTAAAAAATATATTAAAAAACAAATATCAGTTAAACTAAGTAAAAATGATCAGAACCTCTAAAAATTTTGTGTAATTTAAAATTTAGACTATTATATTTAATCTTTACTTTTGTCTTAAACAGTACTTTAATCCTAAAAATAGAGATAATAATGATTATTATAAGTTAATTATAATATTTTTCTAATTTTTTATATATTTTAAAATTTTTTTTCATACTGTATTTATCAACAACTCTCTTCGCTGATTTTTATTCCAAAGTAGAGCAGAAACAAAACACAAAATATGACCAAAACAAAATAGAAAACAGTTTTTGGGCCCTTAAGAAAAAAGTGTTTATATGCAAAAATACATAAATAACAATAGAAATATAATAACAGAAAAAATATTCCTAACAAACTAAACTTGCTTTTAAAAAATTTTCTTTTCTTTTTAATGTAAAACTTGAAATTCTGAGAAAACATGATTAATCCTAAAAAACAGAAAGGAAACATGTAACTGATTAAACAACAACAACAAACAACAAACAACAAAGTCATGTTCACAATTAAAAAATAGATAGATAGATAGTAGTAAATAGTAGTAGCATACAGGGTACATATGAGCAACACAAAAGAAATTGAACAAGTAGAAACCTAACAAGTAAATCGAATGGATTAGGCTACTGACACAGACATTATATACTACATCAAGAAGGCAGATGATAAAAATCAAAGATATTTAAACTTTGAATTGTTGGATCAAATTCTAACAATGTCTGCAAAAGAACCAAGTAATATAGAGCATATAGTTAAAGACTTAGCAATAAATAATCCAAACTATATTATACTAAGTGATGTACTACTTTATAAACAAATTCTTAAGGTCTTGAATTTAGCAGAACTAAGCTGGCTCGAAGAAGATATAATAGATGAATAGGCACAAAGACTTAGACTGATGAGTCAGAACCCAAAATCAGTTGAATATATTACAAACATGAGTAAAGAAGAAATATTCAAAGAAGAGAGAAAAATGTAAAGAATAAAGAAACTGAACAACACAGAGAAGATGCAAACATCAATAACAAAAAAAAGACATCAAGATATAGAAAGAAAAGAAATATTACAAGAAAAACCTACTTAAACGATAAATAAAATAATTGACCAAATGGTGGAGTTCAATATTAATATGTTACAAGAAATGCAACAAGAAAATTTTTTATCAAGCACAAACCAAACTCCTACAAACAAGTTAAATGAAGCAGAAAAAACAAGAGAGAAAAAGATAAAGAAGGACACAAAAGCTCCAAGAGATAGCATTATCCAAGATGTTAAGAAAAATATAAAAAACATCAAGAAAAAAATAATAGAATTAAAAAAAAAAAACTGACCTATGAAGATCCAATCTTTACTAATACAATCGAGCACAGCCAATGGTCACCAGAAAATAGAATATGTAATAAGAAGATGTTCTTCAAAGCAAATATGCCTACATACATCCTGTCTGGAGAAACAAGTAATAAAAGGATAAAATATGTGCAATGAATTTTGGGCAAAAACTATCATATTAAGACAATTAAAGAAGTTTTTAAGAATGAAAACAACTGGGTAGAAGTAGACTTTGATTGCAAACATAGCTGAGATGCAGCAATAAACAGAATCCAAGAAAAGAAAGAGGAATAGTTCAAGCTTATTCCAGAAAAAGAAAGAAACAAAAAATCAAAACTCAAACAACAAATCAAAAATAACAACAAAAAGGAGGAAAAAAGATACAAAAGCCAATATAGAAAAAAAGAAGATAAAAAGAAAGAAGACGTGTTTATGACAAAAAATGAAAAAATTCATATAACTGTTTTACAATATAGGACTTATCAATGAATATTAATGCAGAGAAAATCAGACATATGTGCAAAAATTTTAAGAAGATACAAATAAGGTGCATCAAAAGATCTAAACACAAGGTATTAGCAGTAGTTCAAGCAGATCAACTGACTGACAAAAATATTCCATGGACTTTGCCAATTGGTGTTTACAAGTTGGCAAGAGTAACTAAAGATGATGAAGATTATGCATAATGTGATCTTTAAAACCTATTCACAACAAGACTAACAGAACTCTCAGGCAATGCTTCAGAAGTATTGCTATTATATTGCTTAAAAAACAAAGAAGCAAAGTTAGTTTATATACCACCTAACAGAAATGAAAACCAAAGAAGAGCAGTGACAATCACATTTGCATCAAAAGAAGAAATAGAAACAGCACAATCCAAACCAATAAGATTTAATAACCACTTTCTATATTGAAAAAGCTTTCAAGAAAAGTGAAATAAGAAAAAAGAAGATAGTAATAGTCAAAGACATCCAAACTCAAAAGAAATAGCTATTAATGTAATTGAAGAAAAGCAGAAGATTGACAAAAAAGAAACAATCAAAAAGAAAAACAATAGAAGCAAAGATGATAGTCGAATAAAGCAAACAGAAGAAAATAACTTCAATCTATAAATACAAGATTTGCTTCAAAGAATTCTAGAAAGACTAGACAAACTTGAAGTTCAACAAGACAAATTAATAGAAAGAATACAGCTAGGGACAAGGGACAGCCCAGCTGATCACTCCTAAAGGCACTCCAGTTGAACTAATAGAAATGGATAAGGAGCTGAAAGGTTTTTTACAAAAAGAAAGAGAAATATATAAAAAAAGCATAACAACTCCTTATTGAAAAGAAAAAAAAATCAGAAAAGGCAAAAGAAAAGTAGAAAACATAGAAGAAAAACAAAACCAATTAAAGAAAAAGTGGAAACAAGAAAAGAAAGAGATCAAAATAGCATATTATAATATTAACAAACTTAAAACTAATGGGTAGAAGTTTGAAAATTTACTCAACTGGGCAGAAGAGGAAAAAATTGTAATATTAAGAGTCATAAAAACAAACATTACTGAAAGGGAAGAAAGGTTTCTGATGCATGTGTCAAACAAAAACTATATAAGATATTGGACAAATGCAGCAAAAGATAAGAAAAAATGATCTGATGTAGGAATTCTAATAGAAGAGCAATGAGAAAAACATGTGAGTGCAGTTAAGAGAATAAGTAAATACATGATAGAGATTACACTATATTTCAAGCAATTGGAGCTAATAATGATAGGAG